ATGGGGGGCGCTGACTATTCCTGAAGGAAGAACCCAGTAACCTTTTTTATCGCGAACCGTGCCTTTAAAGAGTTATTGCCTAATTCATCAAATTAATGTCGGAAAAGCTACTTCATTTGTCGACGAACTCTTGTAGTGCATATTAAAATAAGCGAACGAATAAATAAATAATTGTGCGCTGAGGCGGTGGTGGTGCAGTGGCAGGTGGCGCACTATACCACACCCACAGACGCGGGTTCGAGTCCCCAATCAATATACGCCTAGTATAAGCACGGGGGCAAAACCTGTATGGTAAGCGGGGCTTGTGCAAAAAGTTGGTAGCTCTGTTCAAGGTAACTTTTTGTTTGGCCAAAAAAGGTTATAGTATCGCCCGACAGTTTACTTCGTGGTTTCAATCGATATGAATTAAATGAAATAAATAATAATAGTAAATATAAATAAAATTAATTATAAATTCTCGACTCCGTTCGCTTAAGCAAAGATTGATTTGAGTGAGCTGCCTATGTTTGGTAAATTTATAGCCATTTATGACACCTTAAACGGCGAGGTAAGCAAACCAGCCCGTTCAGCCCTTCTGCTGGATGCATTTGTTTATCCTGCGATACTGATTAAGGGTCTCATAATCACACTCAGAGAAAGCACGTGGGGAGTTGCTTCTAAATCCCAGGTGGAATTCTTTATACGGTGTACAGAGGGCTGCCGTGCAACTGTGACAGTATGGTGTGCTTTAACAGTTGGTTCATATATTCGCCCAATGTCTTCCACATATAAACAGGGAAGTGCCTTCCACCTGGGATTTAGAAGCTACTCCTCACGTACTTTCCCTGAGTGGGATTATGAGACCCTTAAAACGAATCGCAGTATAAGCAACTGCACCCAACAGAAGGGTCAAACGAGCTGGTTTGCTTACTTCCTAAACGGCTACAAAACATCCTGGAGAAAGGATATAATCTGAATTGTTCAGTCACAGAATTTCAGCTTTTTTCTGGGTTACCATTTAATCAAGCCATGAATGGAATCAAAAAGAGAGGACGGCTTAGATAGAAACTCGCTTTGAGGAAAGTGTCGTTTTTGATACCTTTGAAATGCTTTTCAAACTTCCCTATGCAGAGATGAAAGTAGGAATAGACTGGAACAGTCTAGGTATGCAATGGGCCGACAGAGTTCGATGAAATGGGTTCCCGCTCAAGGACATGTGAATATCTGAAGGAACTCGAAGAAGAACCATTCCGAGTGTTGGTCTAACGTGATTTTCTGTGAAGCGAACTGCTTCCAGGGTTGTGGTCACTAATAAAGCTGGGAAAACAGAGGAGTTACAGAATTCATATAGCGTGAAGAAAAATCTCTGACGGTTTCAGCCGCTACTTTTTTTCTTTACTACGGTCGGGTGGATTTCTTCATACAGAAGTCTAGAAGAACCGAGTGATCACCACTGCTTTGGAAGGGATAGAGCGGTTTGGGTGTTTTGGCAAAGTGCACTACAGCACAAGAGTGGTGCAGGGATCGAATGCCGAATCGTTATTTATTTATTCGATATTTGCATAATCCAAACAAGTCTTCCGTTACTTCAAAGTACGTTACCAACACGTGATTGGCAAACGCCAACGACTTTGCCCTTCATCCTTATTTTGAAGAAAATGAATCCAGAAGATAGTTATCACTTCAGAAGTGTAGAAAGAATAAGGCCTCATTCGAGCCCTACCAGTGGTCACTCCAGTCACAAAACAAGGTAGTAATGGGGGCATAATTATGAGGGAGGATGAGAAGGAAAAGAGCTTGTGTTGTTAAAACCTTTTCTCCTCTTTTTCTTTTTCTTTTCTTTTTCTCTCCTTTTCACCTTTTGACCGGAATTTCTGTTTCGGGGTTTCTCGAATTCATGCATCCAGTCCAGAAAGATGGTACCGTAGTTGTTACTTGTTACTTTCAGTAAATTCTTCACTGAACGGTGTTCGGGAAGCTGAGTACGTCAGGCCAGATGTCAAATGTATCGAAGCGGCTCTAAAGCCCTAACACGAAAGCGACTGTTCGTGAATCTGCCTCCCTTCTTTCACTGCTCTCCCTCCCCCACCCCCATCTGTCGTCCCTTTCTAGCTCCCTCCCATTACTTTCTTCGATTATCATTTGTTGGTGTAAACAGGAAGGAGAGAGAGCACAAATATGAAAATGCTCCGGAATCAAGATGACTCACCGTCGTGTTGACGACTGTTGATAGACAGGAGGTAGCTGAAAAATGATCGTTCAACATGAAGATTACAAATGTCAATGTTTGAGCTTTCAGTTTACAGGGAAGAACTCTTTCTAAGGGACTTACACTAGGCGTATCCAATGTAGATCTGCCTCCAGTTTCCACAGTTTCTACACTTGGTTGCTCCAAATCCGCTCGGTTGAATCGCTTAGACACGATCCCTAACATCTAAAACACCACTTCTACTATCCACGTTCGATCTCCTTAAAACTTGGATATGTTTTACAAAGTCCTTACTGCTCTGCAGTTCAGATTTGTAATGGTACCGCAGAAGTTAGGTTTCCGGGAGCTGTTCCAGCTGGCGAAATGCGTTTCTGCGAAAGGGCCACTGATTGGGTGTGCCCCAGAACGGAAGTTTCAAACTGATTCCTGGTCCTTGACGATGTCGATCTGTCCAAATCGCCAATCAAATAAGGATGGTCAAGGTTTTACCAATGCAAGCCTGTACGGCAGAGCAGTATACGACATTGTGCAACTGTTTCCACCTGATATCGATAGAGGGAAACTTCAAGAGCTGTAGGGAAAACCATAACCCCTACTTCGAGCTTACCCTAGCAGCCATCGTGATGAGAAATGTGATTCTACTGCCTACAGCTGATGGATCACACTTGAGATCTGACGGAGACACTTTGCTCATTGATCACGTGAACTGAAATTTCATGTTTTTCGAATTTCGAATTTTTCATGCACCACAGAAAAAGGTAGTACGCCATGCATCAGAAAAAATCAAGAAATACAAGTCCTAAGAAGTCAAGTAAGAGAAGAAAATGAAGCCTAGAGCCGATCGAAAGAACCTTATGATGAGAGGAGGATGTTTGGTGAAAGGTTAAGATGACGTGTAGGCTGGTTCACGGAGAGAAGTTCCATGATGGCATCCAAGAATCTCTTAATGGGAGGATCGATAGAGGCACGTGAGAGGTATCCCTAGCGTGCTAGAGCCAACTTTCAAAGAGCTCCAGGATCTTTCCTGTTAAGAAGTCCAGTGAGAGTCCATGAGAGGTTTCTGGGAAGCAACTTGTGTTACCTACTTGAAAGGACGACATTTCTTGTACTAAAGTACATACCTGCCTCCCGAGAAATATTTGAGAACAGTGAACTCCCTCAAACTAAAAAAGTCGATGGTAATGACCACTCATTATTTCAATTAAGCCTTTGAGGGGTTATGGGAGGCGCTTATTCTTCTCATTCTAAATACCTAGATCCCAGGCTTTTTATGGGACAAGTCGGAATGCGACGCGTTTAGCGAGCCCGTTCTCGCAGATTCAGTTCACAATTAGAAGGGTTTCTGAGTTAGCGATCCGTGACCCCTCGAATACCCTGTATGTAGCGCTTTCAGGTAGGAAGACAGCCTAGTTANCTAGCGTGCTAGAGCCAACTTTCAAAGAGCTCCAGGATCTTTCCTGTTAAGAAGTCCAGTGAGAGTCCATGAGAGGTTTCTGGGAAGCGACTTATGTTACCTACTTGAAAGGACGATGTTTCTTGTACTAAAGTGCATACCTGCCTTCCGAGAAATTTTTGAGAACAGTGAACTACCTCAAACTAAAAAAGCCGATGGTAATGACCACTCATTATTTCAATTAAGCCTTTGAGGGGTTATGGGAGGCGCTTATTCTCCTCATTCTAGATACCTAGATCAGAGGCTTTTTATGGGACAAATCGGAAGTGCGACACATTCAGCGAGCCCATTCTCGTAGACTCATGGCCAGTTCACAATTAGAAGGGTTTCTGAGTTAGCGATCCGTGACCCCTCGAATACCCTGTATGTAGCGCTTTCAGGTAGGAAGACAGCCTAGTTAAGAGCCCAAAGATTGGCATGTGTCACACCCAAAGTAGACAAGCTTTCGTTTACTTGTTCATTTGTTTGTTTGTTATTTACTGCATACACTCACAGGTGTTTAGTAATGTCCCTACATATTAGAAATTGAAAAAAATCACAGAAAATTGTTCTCGAAAAAGTGAGCTCCTTCTTTAACTAGTAGCCCTAGTTAAAGCTCGACTTCCCATGTGGGAAAACGGAGTAAACCTCTAATAGAACCCCTCTATTTTCAACTGGGGATCAATGAGAAAACTATTAACGAAATAAATTTAATAACAATAATAGTAATAATAATAACAATAGTAATAATAATATCAAAAGACAGTATTAAAATCAAATGCGGATGCATTCATGGAGGCCTCGTGGTACCAAACTGATTGTAAGTAATATACCAACAAGAGTAGGTAGCTTTAACGATGGTAGGCACATCCTGAGTGGCATCTTCGATGAAGCTGAGGCACCAATCCTCAAGAGAATTTAACTAATTCTTCTTGAGAGGGGGAGTTACCGGCTGAGGAAGCATCACGTGAGTTTCGCCTCCATCTCCAAACCATCAATAAGAGATACAAGCTTCAAAGTTCAAGAACCTATAGCAGTGGTTGTTTTTTATTGGAAATTTTCTCCAAAAGCCTCTTGTAGAGAATTTCAAATGAACAATCACAATCCGAATGATCTCTCAATGAAAAATGTGTCTTTATCTATTAGATTTTAGGCTGAAACTTCTGATGTACGGCTAGGACACCAGCAGTATGGTACTTAGCTGTCAGCGGTTATGGTTGGAACTTTCACTTGATCTCTCTCTCTCATCATGGGGCTCCCACAGTCTACAACTTACCAGTTTTTTTCTGAATTGGGTTGAGGTAGTTCCGAGTAGCCTGATCCCTCCACCGTGTAAGTGAGCAGCAGAAAATATACAGATTCCTGCATTGTTTGTTATTTGTAAACTGCATAGTTTGATTAAATGGAGTACTGTAGAACGGTACGTCATAACCTACAGTAATTCAATGATATGTTATGATAAGAGTAAATGATCAAAGGGAGTGACTAACGATACTGCGTAAGACAAAACGGTGAAAAGTTCAAAGTTCTCCAAAATTTAAAACCTAATATAGCCTCTCCAGTTGGTTTTTAATGAAAAGTCCCCTCCAGCGGACTTCAGTTGCGATGAAAGGGAAAACCATCCAAAGGTTCTCTCGAAGCGAACTGTCTATTTCCATCTGATCGGGAGTATAACTGGCGGTTTTGGCTGAGCTTACAGTGATGTGGTACTCAGCCGCCACCATTTAGGTTTATAATGGAATTCTCTCTATCGACGCAGGGACTTCTCAGTCAGAATCGTTACCAGTTTTTTTTCTAAATAGGGTCGACGCAGTTCTGATCGGCCTGATTTTTTTTCACCGTTAATGGGCAACAGAAATACTAGATTCCCTGCACTGTATGTTTACGCAAACAAAAGAGTTTGATCATATGATCATATCGTTTGCTATAAGTCGGCAATAGCAATAGCTCAATGATAAGTGATGATAGGAGCTAGTGATAAAAGGGAGTAACTAACGATAATGTGTAACACAAAACGGTGAAAAGAACACTGAGATGTAGAACTGGAAGTAAACATATTTGCAATCGTTGAAAGCACATGCCGAGCCAGGGATGTGGGCGCATAGTGATTTATTCGCACTTCTCCCATTAGAGGATTTCCCTCCACGAAGTGACTATCGTCTCAAACTAATGGGGACCCACTAGTAGCCGAAGAGATGGCTTCCTTATAGGGCCTGCTCATTCCTTCTACTTTCGATGTTTTATACAAACAGCCTGAATATTTCATTGAGCTCGGTAGCATTCTGAGACCCTTGCAAGGCTTCGTGCAGGACGAAACTCCTCCCCACCAGCCCTCCCTGGAAGAAGTCGCTCGGAATTCCATTGTTCAAGTAGTTTATCAGTGTACTCTTCCGCTAGAGCATTACCTAATTTTCAGATCTAATCTGCATTTCACGCCATTACACCTTTTTTATGACTAAGCCAATATCCCTCAGTTTTCTTCTCATCCTCTCAGCCTTACACTCGCTTATGAATCTGTGGGCCCCACGTTTACCATATGTAACGCTTTCCAATCGGGAGACAGCCTATTTACGCATTATAAGGGGTCCAAAGGTCAGCTTATGCACCCGAAGGTGACGTGTTTTTGTTTACTCATTTGTTTGTTTGCTTGTTATTTACTGCAGATAGTAACCCACAGGTGTGCACAGCTTGAACAATAAAACTGTCATTCCTTGAAAAAAGCCAGAGATCTCCGCCACTTCATCGCTACCAACTTTCTCATGGGGAGAGATGGCTTGTGGAGCTGCGCTGTATTTTTGAAGAATGGTGGCTGGGTGATTAATTTTCCATTTCTAGAGGTACCAGTGACCAATCATTCTTATGCAGTAGTGGGCAAGCTGTGATCGGTGACCAAACAACAAAGTATAAAGTTGTTATCGTTAGTTAGCCGATTGAAAAATGCGTCGGAGCATTCGACTTGTATTCAGGATCATAGAGGAAATCGTGGAATAGTGAGAAGTACAGTGATTTCACTGATCTACAAAAGTTACATGACGCTATATAATAGGTGGGATGACAACGTCGAGTTCTGTTGCCATCAAAACATCTCCTCCGGAAACACAGTATTTCCTGAAAGGTAGGGAGGATGAGAAGTCGCTCCTGCAAACTCCTGCATGACATACCTATGGAACCACATAATTCGTTCTCGGATCTAGGGCGTTCGGGCTAAACGAGGTTCTAAAGTGGTACCAAAGTGGAATAGTGTCGCACAATGCGAAATAGGAGCACTATTGTGGTAACTGCCACTAAGTAGCTACCCTGCTGCTTACCTGTTTGAAGTTCACAGTTTTTAAATAAGGTAGACGGGCGTTAGGAACGATTTCAGGTAATCGATTTGCCGCACGCGGCTGTCGCGNCAAAGTGGAATAGTGTCGCACAATGCGAAATAGGAGCACTATTGTGATAACTGCCACTAAGTAGCTACCCTGTTGCTCACCTGTTTGAAGTTCACAGATCTTTAATAAGGGAGACAGGCGTCAGGAACGATTTTGGGTAATCGATTTGCCGCACGCGGCTGTTGTGGACCACTCATTCGCCGTTATTACAGCTCTAGCGTTCTTCATACCGCTCAATCGATATGCGATCATTATTTTATGCATAATTCTTTTTTAGTACTTTTGTTCTTGTATTTCTTACCTACTGCTGCATCCTGCTACAGTCCTTCGCGCGCGATGCTCCCTCTCACCGCGATGCGGCCATTTCGTTCCTAACGCACCACACCCCATTTGTGGATCATACAATGGTTTACGGTGGCCACCTGAGTGCTTCCATTCTAAAAGACTAACATGGTGCCAATTATCCCGATTCCAAGGGATGGAAAGCTTTTTTAGCTCGAGATGAGTCCGATCTCTGAATTGAGCGTGAGCGCTAGTGCCTACTGCCACTATACCACCTCCGCCCTTTTGTTTCCTTTTTTGATTAATGGTCTCTGGAATCTTGTCAAGACAACCTTTCCACCCTCATAATCTCGTACAACACTAGAGATGGACTAGTTTGAATGAGAAGAGCGACATACTTCAGAATTTTGCAGGTAGTCTCGTTTTCAAAGCCGTTGACACACCTCACAGGCCATTTCCGAGAAAATACCATAGCAGTAAATTTGAAGGGATTTCTAGCTGGGAGATGGTTAGATAGAGACAAAAACTAGAAGATACTGGCCACTTCAATTTGTAGAATATAGCCACATGTAATTTGATTCGTTACTTGAAGGTTCAGCAATTCCCTAGTGAGTCAAGCACAACAACAAACAACTTCGAAAAGGAAATGAAAGCAGTAACCAGTCCATTTCGCAATGTTATCAGAGCTTTCTCCTGCTCTAGTTCATTGACCAGTGCATTTGATATTATGAGACAGCAGAAAATAGAGCGAGATATACAAAATGCGAAAACTTTTCCCACTTATGTTACAATACTGTCTATTTGTAAGGGCGAAGGTGATGTAGTGGCAAGTAGCCCACTGTCACACACACTTGGTCATGGGTTCGAACCCAGTATCGATATCAGCCTGAGCCAACCAGGCCTTCTATCCCTTCGGGGTCGGTTATTAGGTACTAAACTAGTCCGGGAGGATAAAAGACTGACTTGTGCCTTGGCTGGCCACTGTAAGCCATTCTATAGGAGACATATGCATTCAATCCACCACCACGATACTGAATGGAAGTCGAATGCGGGGCGCATCCCGAAACGGGATTCATTATGCCAAAACTTGACCTTATTTATTCTTATCAACTGGTCTAACCATAAGAGATGAAACACACGATGAGTCACGGTTAAAGGATAGGAACTAATGGATAACCCCGTGTTTGCTCAAATCCTCCCATGAGTTTGACTTTCCCTAAGAAGATTACCCTTTCAAGGTGACAAAACAACTTTCCTTATCTCGCCCCTCTGGTAAAANTAAGAGATGAAACACACGATGAGTCACGGTTAAAGGATAGGGACTAATGGATAATCCCGTGTTTGCTCAAATCCTCCCATGAGTTTGAATTTCCCTAAGAAGATTACCCTTTCAAGGTGACAAAACAACTTTCCTTATCTCGCCCCTCTGATAAAAAACTATCAGAGCTTAAAACTAGTTTGCTGACTCACTTTGTTTGCGACCTAGAAACGGGTCTACAGTAGCTCCAGACCAATCAACTTGATCAATAAAATGAATCGATCTTGATTGATGTTTCTTGGTTCCCCATGAGTTTGTGCATCTCCCACCAATCGCGTGAAATGTTGGACTGAGGACACGCGAAAAAACGCTCCACGCAAAGGTAAGTGGCTCTGCAAAAGAGGACTTTAAACACGAAACCCATTTATCGAGAGATTCCCGATGTTGGGAAGATTTCGTATGGGCAACGAGGTGCCAACGTCGGCATAGAGCCAGGTTTCGTCAGCCAACCCTTTCACAATTTTGGTATTGTATCAGCTGACGCTTTAATGAAACGCACCTCAGCTTTGAGAATATCTACAATAATCAATAGTTTCAATAATAATAACCAGTAATCAATAGTCCAATCAATAGGAGGTGATTGAGACTGGTTAGCAGCTCAGTTGGGGAATTCCTCTATTTGAATTGCATTTCCTTTGGGGTGATCAGTGCAGGTAGACCACCCTCTAGTTTAGCAGTTTTACAGTCTCTGGCTACGTAACCGTAGTTTGTGATCCTCTTTTCCGCTGTGGTTTAGAAAAGTATGTAAGTTCAGCGGCTTCCACCTCTCCCGGTTATCTTTCCATTTCCCGAAGTCATCGCTTACGTGAGATTCAGCAAGTGTCAGGAGTGCAAAGCACAACAAAGTCACCATGATAACCATATGACGCTGGCATGTGATAGTATGGTCCTATCCAAGTAATTCAAATGGCTCAAGATATTAGGGATGCGATGCCAAACTTCCATCATCCTACCCGCGACACCGATTCTTGTTCCCCGTAATCCTTCACCTCCAGTACCGCTTAGTAAACTCTTCTCGAAGTATTATAGCTACGTGGGCAGCCGGGAGACGGGCAGTAGGATTGGTTTTGTGTAAAAGATTCGGAGCACGCGGCTGTCGTGGACCATTTACCTCGTTATTACAGTTTTAGTGTTCTTCATGCAGCTCAATCAATATGTGATTTCTATTTTTGGCATGATTCTAATGTTAGATCTTTATTTCCTGTATTTCTTACATGCTGCTGCATTCTGCTACATTCCCTCGCGCGCGGCGTCTCTTCCCACGACGCGACAATTTGGATCCTTCTGCACCACACCCTGAACAACCCGGTTACCGTGCCGCTGTCGTGGCGCACAACTCCTGTTGCGGTTATTCTGTGGATGATTGGACCGCACAACATACTTATACATCAAATCCGAATGGTCTTAACCTCGACCTCGACCAAGTGGAATGTTACAGCAATGGCAGCCTGTGGCCTAGAGACTACTATAAAAGATTTCCCGCGGGCTTATACTCGGTAATTCGAACAAGAAGTCCCCTTTATTAACAACGCACCGCTTGCCGTTCATGTACCAACCAAGAGCTTCACTCCGTCCTTTACTATCCAGTTGTAAAACTCAACTAGTAACCGAAGCTCAGCGGTTCCACGAAGTCCCTATCAGCCTGGGTACACATCAGTTATGAATCTAGAGCTACAAGAACTAGTCAAGTAAAGCTCAAAACATGAGGAATGCAGAAGTAAAAGCAACCATGACCCTCCCTTCTTTCTAGCTTCTACATCTGCTGATGACTGCGTCAACTGGCCTGACTGCCTGCTCTGCCTTAATGCGCTTAGTGGAGTCTCCCTACTCGTTAACAGCCAACCAACCAACCACTAACTGCTTTTTGTAGAGAAACACGCCATGCCCTCCAGAAAACAATGCCATTTTTCAAGAAGTACAGCCACAAAGTATTTCCAAGCCTCAAATCTAACACAGTATTTGATTCGATTTTCATTATAAAACATGAAACGACTAACAACATCAACAAGTCTGAAGGTCCCTGCCTAATAAGGCTTAAACTGATCCTTAGTTGATATGCTTTCATAAAGCACGTCCTAAAGGCATTGCACTGATCATAGTCACAGATAAAACAAACGAACGCAAACAAAAATACAATATATAATAAGTGAAATTCATAATTACGCAAAATGAAACACTTGAAATCTATGAGAAGTGATCCCGTAATATGATACCGTTCGTTACGAAGCCTCTTCACGCCTAGACTCCGTATTTATCGACTAGAACTAACAATTGATGCTTTAGTTATTACGAAAACAATAACTGGTAATATTATAGTTTAGAAAGTGACGGTAACTGATAATAGCTTAGAAACGTCATGGAAGGAGGCAAAACCACATAGAAAGGTGGCTGATGCTGAAAGGGAGGTAGACCAGCAGCGAGCGCTAGGCGAAGCTAATCGTGAGCGGATGAGTTGCTCGGAGGGCGGGGCGAAGGATGAGGCGAATCCTGTTCGTTCACTACCGATAGGGAAAGGTACATCTGAAACAGCTCGATTGTGAGCAAAGCATTTACTTGAGTAAATATCGTTAAAATAATACAACGGGCGGGCATGGTGTAGTGACAAGTGGCGCACTATCACACACATGGTCACTAGTTCGAATCCCGGTTCGAATTCGCCAAGGTCAACAAGCTTTTCTTCCCCCCTTGGGGTGCTCAGTTGTACCAGACTTGTTTAGGAGGATGAACGCACTGAGTTGTACGGTGATAAGCCACCGCCAGATTGTTTAGGCCACATACGCATTCAAACTCCCTCTACGATTCTGGATAGAAGTCGCATGAGCGGCGCGTCCCTAGTGGACTCTATTAACGCCAAAGACCTTGACTTTTACATTGAATCCTACTTCCTTTTAGCTAATGGACACCGTCGTTCTCGCAGTCGATTAATGTCTCTGTCATTAATGACAAAATGAATAGAACAGAAGTCAGATGCGGGGCGCATCCCATGAAGAGAAACCGTAAAACACCCAAACGCCGGTAACTTGATCCGCTATTCTTCGAACTCTTCGCCTCGACAATCGATATCTGATGTGCTACTGGTGGTATTCATTTTATATTTTTATTTGAAGACATGAATTAAGTAGGGGAGGGAGCGGGATGGGGAAAGGGGGGGGGGGGGGGGGGGGGTCTGTGATCGCCTTCGATCAGATTGAGACCCCATAAGGGGCGAACAACTGTGCATATCCTTTTTTTTTCTGGTCTCGAACATCTGGTAGACAAAAACCAATCGCTCAGTCCAACATACCCTAACTCTGGGCGCTTTTCGCGATAAATCACCTGGAATATGGGCCACGAAACAACGATGGGGGACCGAATTCATAGGAAAAACACAAAAACTTCGCTTCCGATACCATTTTCCCGCAGTTCCCACATGTTATTTACAACCTACCAAGATTTTTATTCTTCCGAACGACATAGTCTCACTACACTAATCTTTACGGAACCTTCGAAGACAGCCAAGATCAAGGAGTCTCCCACATCACTTCAAGGAACAAATTTCATGCTCACCTTAGAATCATCGGTGCTCTCCCGAAACACTCCTACGTGTTCATCATCGGTATCTTGAACATCTCCATCTGTCAGCATGTCAGTAAGTTCACAGTCGGCTAATTCCTCCTCTTCTATCACTCCCGAATGATTGTCCTGCAGAACCAGAATTTTTCAATCAGGAAGTTGATTTCACTTGAAAGTGCCTGGTATAGCCAGGACAATAGAGTACCTCATCAGCTGCCCTCCTATCAATTGATCGCCTCTGTCTAGACGTTGATTCCGCTTCTTCATGGGAATACACTTCATCCCCACTTTGATGTGGAGATTCCTTAACATAATACAATCCTAACAGACAAAATCTCAAGAAATCGATCATACCGATTACCTGGTGCTCGTTAGACATCGATCGCTTCTGTTTTCTGTTCCTATCATCTCTTTGGATTGAAATCGAATCGGTGATCGAAGTGTACTCTCCGTGTCGATGGCGTCGTACAGACCTAAACAGATGCTATCTANCCACTTTGATGTGGAGATTCCTTAACATAATACAATCCTAACATACAAAATCTCAAGAAATCGGTCATATCGATTACCTGGTGCTCGTTGGACATCGATCGTTTCTGTTTTCTGTTCCTATCATCTCTTTGGATTGAAATCGAATCGGTGATCGAAGTGTACTCTCCATGTCGATGGCGTCGTACAGACCTAAACAGATGCTATCTAGGGTGTAGGAACAACAAGGAGTACAGGTAGACTACTGGTAAGTCTCTAAGAAGTCTACTTCCCACAGGAAAGCGATACTAACTAGTTGAATTTTTTGAATAAAAATACCACCAACTACCTCGCTCTCTCCTTGATGAAGTCAATACTGCAAAAAGAAATGAATCAGGCCACAAATTATTCTCTCGAAATATCAAACCTCTGATCAAAACTCACGATATCGATTTAGACGGCGTCAAGTTGGCCGGATCCAGGGAGAGCATACTACCGTAACGTCGTTCCTGTGGGCGTGGTGAAAGCAGAGCCGGATCTTCGTTCGAAGCATGTGGGCCTACAAGAAAAGTGGCATTGCACTTGGAATGGAAACAACAAAAAGTGCTGGTTCAGAAAATATTGAATTAAATTTTACTAAAACAATGTCGTCTAAATAGTAAATATTCTGATAAGCAGTAAACATTGACTTTGATGATCGGAAACAAATTTGTAGACATTACCTGTAAGTCCGCACACAGTATTCACTCGTTGCCTACGCTGTCCAACAGGAGCGGCTGAAGCGGAGCCTTCAGCTGGGTCGGCATCGGATACCACAACGGCAGTCTGAAATCACAGTCATCGATTTCGCATCGATTTCAGTTTTTCGAACCCTTAGCTCACATCAATACAAAGCCGATCTTCTGGAATCGATGACGTTGCCATCTGAGATGACATGATCGTTCGGAGGCAGTCAAGGATTTCTGTCTGAAAAAAAAAACTTCAGACTGAAAAGCCGAAAAGACTACGGCTGACCTTATTGTTAAACTAATGAGATCGTTCAATTACTTTGAGCATCTTGGTGTAAACTGGTAAACAGCCCCAATAAACGACAGATTTATTTAAATCGGAATCCCAGACGGATATCTCCATTCGACTCTTCGTAAACCCGAAACATTTCCTAATGGTAGATGAACTCACCTGTGTTTTTTCAATGGCCAACAGTCGGTTGTCCAATTCTGATACTGTCTCACGCGTGGTGACCTCTTTCGAAGCAAGATCATTAAGTCGATTGAGGATTATATCGGTCCTGAAAACATCTCAAACTTGGGTTGTGGCTTTCTGGTTATTCTTGAATATATTCTCACAAGGAACACACCTCTCAGCAGTTCGTTGTATGCGTTCCTCATTGCTAGTACGCTTCCGCATTTCCTTATCCCTAGCCAGATCATCCATGCAATCTTCCTCGAAGTCATGTAATTTTTCTACTTGATCATCATTCAAGAACAACTCTAAAACAACGTTATTGTTAACAGCTAATTCCAGAGAAATTTCAAAAGAAGGGATTTCAAAAAACAGGAAAATTCAAAAGAAGGAAATTCAATAAACAGGAATTTAAAAAGTGAAAAACTCACTGAGACTGAAGTCGAATAATCTCTTCTGCCGATTACCATCGGGGTCCTTTTCATAGCACGACGAGAGCTTCATTTTTATGTATCTGACAGCTAATCCTGCATGCGATAGCGGGGTGAAAGGAGGTGGAACGAATGGCGTACTTTCATACTCCATTACCTGTAAAGGTAAACATTTCCTTCGAATAATCCACAAAAAAGCAACTTTCCAAGTATTAAAATCATAACCCTAACAAAATAATTCAACAAAAGGGATTTTGTATAGTAAATTTAAAAATTGTAGAGGGAATCACCTGACGATACCGTTGAAACAGCCAAATCTGCTGAGCGATCTCGTCAGTCTGATCGAAAATGTTGCTAAAAATGAAAATTTAAAAAAAAAAACTCTTCGATGGATTCAAAGCCAATGATCGAAAAATTTTACTGACTTGAATATCGCAATTAACATGCTCATCAGCAGAATATTCGCTACTAATAAGAAGAATGTCATGAGTATCGGCGGAATCCAGTAACCCGGAACACAGGTACTTCCAGATGTGCTATTTGTTATTGGCACACCTTTTTCCAGATGTGAATCCCATGCTGAAACATGACTGACATTTTGCTTGACACTTCTTGATAGCTGTTCCAATGAGAAATGTGACTGTACGCCTTTGGATGGACCTTTATTTCTTGGAACTCAGACGACTGGATAAGTGATTACGAGAAAGGTCGAATCCCGTTTCCCAAAGGAATTGCTACTGCCAAGAAATCACCGAATCGAGGAAATATGCTCCGCGTGATCACAACGTATGGTCCCCTCAGATATCTCAAACGAGACCACCCCACCGATTGAAGTGAGGATAAGATAGCATCCCCATTTTTGAAAATAGGCTTGAATGGACGATCACGGGTCAGTGCCCTGAAGAAGCCCAACAATGTACGTCTAGCTCTCAAGTACTGGAGCACTCTCTCGGGCACTATTATCTGAATCAACCAAACCCTCCTTCAAGCTGGGATCTGCTAAATGATACCATACTCGCCTGAAAAAAGTAGAGAACTCATTCTCCTCAAAAGTGGCTGAGACTCACACGCCTGCAAGGACCCGTTCAAACGCCATTATCNTTTTTTTCACAAAAGTTCAAATCTAATATGTTCCAGAATCGGATGGACAAGGTCAAAATTCGATCTCTCGATGTGAGTCACCTCCACCCATGCCCCAAAATCCAGTTCCCAGTAATTAGTGATAGCCCTCACTAGGATCTACAATCCCGCGATAATCCATCCATAGGCCGTGAACGGTACGACCTCATGCTGTAAATCTCGAAGTCGATACGTACAACTCTCGACAGTACCTTCATCTCCACATGTGTCGATTTCATCAGCATATACCTCACCATAAAGCATGAAATATGGCTTATAGAAGACATTTCGAATCTAAATAACCCAGATGAACTGAACAGATAAAAACAACCACAACAAATAAACCAGCAAACACTAACCAGTAGCCAATGCCAGTCCTCATTTGGGTAAGTTATCGATTGTCGGGCTAGACCAAATGCCAGTAACGATACTACCAACATAACTATTATATACGACATATTCAGAATCTGAAAAACAGTCCTCACGAGCAAACATTGGAAGGATAAAAGCATTCGTCCTCTAACGAATCCCATATCAAGAAACCACTCCAAAAGGGTAATTACTGTTAGAATTACGAGGGAAAAACCACGGTAGTTGAAGAGGTCCGATTAAACATTCTGGTAAATTCATTCTGTAGCGAAAACCCAAGACACTAGAAAACACTTGAGCTTGCTGTCAGTCTTACTCATAAATCCAGAGTACCAGGCAAAAGAGACTCCGAGTTTTTTTCTTCAGCTCCTAGTATCTCTATTTCAACTCATAGCGAGGACTACTTCATAGCATTTCTTCGAATTTCTTCTCTTTTCAAAAGAAAGATTGAAAGAAAGAAGATTTTCACCATGAGCAAACTGAAAACGTTTTTCAAGAAATGACTTAGCCCCATATTCACTCTTTCCACTGGACGTCCGGAAAATCCACTTCCATTTTTTAATAAAACTGACCATTTTTCCAGCCATTGTGATATACGGTCCAAGCCGTGGATGTACACTCATGTAGTCGAGCAATTTCATTGTCCAAAGTACGGAATTACAAGCTAGAATTACTCGACCCGTTTCTATTACCCTGAAATGTGAGCAACTAGCATCAAGGAGGGATTTTACCAAAGCTTCGAGAATATAAAGGACTGACCCAAAAGTACGCATAACAAAACCAAATATGAATGATATAACAGCTGCGGTAGTGACTGTATTCCAATAGTTATAGAAGAAATACTTGACTTTTTGACCAAGCGGTTGCATTTCCGACATGAGAAACTGTAATAGAAAAAAGATAAGGTTCCACCAAAGGAAAAGAAAGCAAAAATAAAGAATTTCGATAGGTTCAATGGTTTTAATGATGTTCCAGCAATTTTCAGCCGAAAAAAGTGGACTTCTCAGAAGAAACAAGGCAAAGCGCTCGAAGAAGCTATCTACTGCCACAATGGACAGCCCTCTGAGCAGCAGAAATCAGACAAAGTTAAGGGCTGTAATAACAGTGTCTGCCAAAACTTTCTATAAATATATTATAGGTTTGAATACCCTAGGGTAGATGGAGCACAGGTACAGTTTCTTACTAACAGATACAACTCTTCCAGTGCGTTGTAGTGCGATATAATACGAGAGAGCACCTAATTTTTCAACTACAGCGGTCTTTCTAAAATAACCAAAATTCATTTACAGGAAAGCTGGCCGAAAAGCAATTACTTAATTAGTTTTCGGAATGAACTCTTCGCTATTTGCACCAATACAGCAACGTCTAGACACTTAGCAAGTATTGCTGCCTCAGAACGGATGCTGCCAAATGCACTCGCATGATTTAAGGATGTTCGATCTAACGATAGCTTCAGCTCAACTTTCCTGACTACACCTATTTAGGTACTCATCCATTAATCCATCAAGTACCAATCTCTAATCAGAATGACCAATGAGCATCTAATCGTCGCAGTCCAACGTATCTGATTCTTGGTTGGTATGCACATCAAAAATCATCTGCCAAGATATCGCCATGAAGATTCCAAGAGAATCTCTAATATAGGGGATAGAATAATTTGTTACTGGAACACTTCTTGGCTGCTCAGACGGGTACAAAAAAACTTTTCTCCATGGGAAATCTAGAAGTGGAGAAATCGGAATGAGATATTCGGGAGCATCAGCAGGTTCAGGGTTTTATTTCCACTACATACATAGCTCCAAAAAATGGCGGTTGATTCAATTACAAAGAAAGAAATCCATAAGTAAAGTAACGAAAGAACAACAGTGAACAACTAAGAAAAATGTTCGGTAGCACCATTAAACGATAGGAGAGTCGAACGTCATCGGGGGAGCGATCAAAGTTTACGGAGAGACTTGAAAGGCTCCAGTGAGTCACACGTCATCGCGATACTGAAGCCAGGAAATGGGAGAAAGACCAACCCAAGGCGCCGTGTCAGATCTTCTCGGGAAATTGTGCCTATGGAGGTTCATTGAACTTCATTACAGTGCTTCATTATAGTGAAGTTTCATTTATTTCTTGCACTAACGCCAAATTGTTGGCCCAAGTGGCTTATCGTCAACTGCACTGCATGAACAATTCAGCATCAAAACAAAATGATCTAAGAGATAGAAAGGTAAATGGTCTCTTAAACCATTTGCCCTAATCAAGACGTAAGGATGAAGAGTTAAGTCTTGGGGCGTTAATCAATCCCGTCTGAGGGACGCGCCCACGCATTCGACTTTCATTCAGAATCGTAATGGGTATTGATTACGTATGTGGCCTATACTATGACTTGCTATGGCCAGCCGATGTACAGTCAGTGCTTTCAACTCTTTGACGAGTCCGGTACCGATTAACCAACCCCGGAGAGATGTAGGGCTTGGTTGGCTTAAGCGGATATCGATGCAAAAGTCGAACCTGTGGTCGTCTGTGTGTGAAGTGCGCTACTTGCTACTACACCAGAACATAATAATTATGAATTCCCTAGCAGAAACTTATCCTCAATAGCTCATGAAATTCACTATCGCGTTCAAAACTGAGCGATGAAAACAATCAAATTCTACATTTTGGAAGTTTCAAAACTCATCAGACAACTTTTACAACCCTTGAAATAGAATAAACCAAAACAGAAGCTAGTAGGACCAACCTTCCTGAAATGCTCCATTCCAAAAGCGATTACGTATGCGAGCAATAACCATTCCAGCCACGATGGTTTTGGTGGAGTTCGAACCAGAAGAACGTAAGTGAATGCAATGAGGAACAAACAGAATGATAAAGTCCATGCCCAAAAGGTTGTAATGGGAGCCGTGTAGAACTCGTATAGCCGACGACGAATTTTTATTGGACGCTGGAAATGAAACGAATTGTTTTAATCCAAAAGGAAGTAGAAAAGGGAGGAACTGGGAACACAAGGAACAGTACCATCCGAGGAAGATTGGCTCCAACAGTCAGCAAGAAGTTCGGTCGAGTGTTAAACGGATCGTCGCTTTGCTTAGTGACTGCTATCCCTCCATGTGATAGCACACCTGGAGAAAATGTGGGTTACTGCTCATATGTTTAGGTCTTGGGGATTCAACTGAACCAGGCATGAGTTTCAATTTCGCAGCAGGGTTGTTAGGCTCTGTCGATTGGCGAAGAAATCGTATAAAGAAAGGGCCAGAAGGTTGTATCCAGTAGCCATCATTTGAATAAAATAAAAATCATACTGTTAGAACGATAAAGAGAAGATCTCCGCTTTGCATCGGTCGGTAGAATCCCATTGTGACGGTAGGACGGATGCCTAGTCCGTTTTTTAAAGAAATGCGGTGGTGTAGGTGAAGTCGCCGGGTGGAAGTTAGGTCCTGAAAAGAAATCATAGAGAAAACCTTAAAAAGACAGATCACAGTACAAACAAAGCATAGGCAACGGTCAGAGATATGAGATTCACTTATGCAGCAAGCTGACCTCCTTGGAACGTACCATATTCGGCACGGTCCGGCTTTCCAGTTTCGCTGATGTCCGTACCCGCGTCCTTGCAATGCTTCCTTCGTCTCCTGCTGTGGAATAACTAGAAAAAATTTATTATAAAAAACTCGTTGAACTGATAGAAATACAAGAAGTACGACTTGGGTACAACACTACACTTCACTTCATATACTGATAAAAGAAGTTCTACTTTGATGAGCTCTAATTGGGGGCAACTGTTTTCCAAAAAAGGATGGGCGGTGTTCAGCGTAAAACAATTCTAATGGCTTCAAAAAACCACACAAAAGACAAGACTAACGGATAGGCCCCAGCCGTCCAAAGAAGGATAGTCGTCCTAATAAATAAAAACGAACCGAAGCGATATTGAGGGACTGGACACTTCCATGTGAAACTCGTCTACTACGCTTCTGATCTTTGTCAACATCGACCTAAAAAAAAGAACTCACGAATGCAATACCAAAAACCGCTTGCCAGAATCGAACCTTTTCTTCATCCTCTTCATCCTCATAACTGCTGGCACTGGATTCTTCAGAAGAGCTTGAGCTTGAGCTTGACGAACTACTGCTTTCGTTGAGATCTTGCTCATGTTCAGCCGCAGTCTACACGAAATTTTATTATGGAAGCGGATTAGTCGGAATTGGCAGTTTCAGGTTATAATGAAAGCCTGGGAGGCTGGACTGAATGATAGGCCTTTATTCAATGATTCAATCAATTCTAGTTAAAAGCAATAGCAAAAATTAAAGCAAACAATAGTCAAATGCTAAGTATAGCCTACCTGAGGTTGGTTTAGAAGCTCTTCTCGCGTTTTGAACTCCAACATGAAAATGGATAAAGGAAACAGCAATCCGCAAAGAACTTTCAAGTTCGAGTGGCTGAAAGTATAATCCAATATCAGAGAGAACACCTTCAAGCGAGTAAGAAGTCCCACCTACGAATCCTCAATCCACCATGCCACAAATCGGCTAGTAAAATCTGACAGCTGAAAAGAAACAAGAAATTCGAAAAAAGAAAAAAACAAAGGATGAAGGTGTTACAACAACAGAAATTAAGTTCTCACCATGGATGAGCAAGGAATTGCTTATTGTTGACCATGACAGCTAGCGAAAGACATGTTTGACAGCCCCAGTTTGATAGTTCATAAGTGAGCAACTAGAATAAAATAAAGGTTTATAATGCAAAGGGGACCTCTTAGCATCACTACTTGCCTGCAGTGTTTGAGCATCATCCTGATGGTAACAGTACTCCAAAAGCTCCAACGAGAGCATGCGAAACTCTCTAAAGAATAAAAATAAAATAAATAATAAAAAAATAAATATATAATATAATACAAATAAAAGTAAAATAAAATAAGAATAAAAGTCAATAGAATCAAACTAAGAAAAAATTCTCGATTTTTTTCAAGATTCAAGTATTAACATAGGGGGAGATCTACAAAAGGTGGGAGACGGGCGTTAGGAACGACTTTGGGTATTCGATTTGCCGCACGCGGCTGTCGCGGTCCACTCATTCGCCGCTATAACAGCTCATGCGTTCTTCATACAGCTCAATCGATATGCGATCATTATTTTATGCATGATTCTACTATTAGTACCTTTGTTCTTGTATTTCTTACCTACTGCTGCATCCTGTTACGTTCCTTCGCGCGCGACGCCCCTCTCACCGCGACGCGACCAGTTCGTTCCTAACGCACCACACCCACAAAAGGTTGATAAAATCAAGGTGGACGAAGTTACTTACTCGGCGTATTTTTTCAACTCGTCACAGATTTCCACCTCCAGATAGTCCTCAGCGGCTTCGGTAGCCAAACTCTTATATAGGCGACATGCGACGAGGGCCTAAGAAATTTATTCATTTAGTTTATTTATACAATCACAAAGTGCGCCACGAAAGGTAATAAACAGGGAATAAAACTGAAGCTAGTCCAAAACGAACTGAATATTTAACTGAACTGGCAATATATTTAAAATTCAAAATATTCACGCAAAAGATTGTAACTATATTGAATAACAATTATAACAGTAGCTATACCTTGGCTAATGCTTCTTCACCGTGTTGCCAAAGGCACATGGCCATCGCCTGTCGTTTCGTGAGGACTGCCCACAGAAGTAGTTCACTGAATGGGTACCGGAATTCGAATTCTCTCGATCGTGAACCTTCTGAGCCGCCCGTATTCGATAATTCTGAGGAAAAGGTATTTCACCCACATCGATGAAAGAGAATCATGTAAAAGGTACCAAACAGTTCAGGGAACATACCTTCATCAAGTTCACTGCAGCATTCACGAGAATCACCAACTTTCGTTGATCGCATTACCATCGGATTCTACAAAGTAATAAATCAATCAGTACGTGAACTTATCAAAATACAAGGCAAATACTCGTACAGAGAAGAACGTACGTCTCTACGGAATGCCGTTCGCCATAGAATATGATTAGAGAGCGCTCGGCTTCCGCTGGCTGCCGCAACACCTTCCGTTATTGGTTCCGTTGCAGGTGGAGCACCGTATCCACTGAGGAATCCACTTGGCTCTGTTGACTGACGTGACATGGCACCTGAACCACCGCGAGACCGAGCAGTACTGCCACTGCCTGGAGGTCCTCCTTTACCATTTTCTCGTCCCTAAAAAATGGATGAAGGAGAAACAGACGCTAGCTGACTTCAGGCATGAAAGCCTGTAGAATGAACGTGAATGCAACAAACCCTATATTTTTTCATGAAGGCGCTATATTTTGATCGAAATTCCGACGTGGTATATGATGATTTGTATGCATTTCCCATTAATTTTTCAATTACGAGCCCAATATGAGGAAGCCTAAAAACAGAAACTTTTTATGACAAAATGACTGTTAGTAATTAAAACTTTTGAGTAGTTCAGGAGCTATTTGCTCCCGAAGTACCTAGTAATGGCTTGCTTCCATTTCCAAAAATTTGGCAAGAGTTCGTACTTTTTCTGAAATGCTCTGAAAGTTCCATGCTTGTTTAACCTTATGATAGCCATCTGCAAATTCGTACCCGGTCAGACCGCCAGTGAAGCCTATTAAAATTGAGTGAAGCATTTCACTTTAAATCCCTTCAAAATGGTTCTAAGCACATCTGATTCCAATGTCTAATAATCAGAAGAAATAAGGGTGAAAATGAGGCTCGATCTGGTCCACCGACTACGCCGTCACTTATGAAACCTCCGGATATGTTGTTTGCATACAGGAGAGTGAGGGCTTTTAAAGTACTCCTATGAAACTTGCAGAACATACTAGGAAAAATTTGGATTCTTGCCAAATTTCAATACGATAATTTTTGAACACCCTTATATAGAAAAGACAAAAAGTGCTAGTGGGAGATAAAAAACAACGAAATTGACAAAAAAACACACTTGTATCGATACCCTTGCCGCACTTTTACCACGTCTCTCACAATATAATACAAAGTGTTCGGAGGTCCTTTGTCCTAAACAGTACAAAAATTGAATTTTCGATGAGGAAAGGGATAAAATGGAGATGAATGAGCGAATATGAATATGAAATGAGTGAATAGTGGCAAATAAAAAGGAGTAAAGGTAGAGGGACATTGACAAGGCGAAAGTTCAAAAAAAAAACAAGAAAAAAAGTAAGTTTCTACAGTAGTAAAAAAGCCAAACAATGTGTACATTATAACCCTACCGTATTGTAGAGCTCTTCTAGACGGCCTATAGTAAGAAAGCGTTGCATATTGACTCCATTTTCTAGTAGTAGCCGAACAAAATCAACACGATCATTAATAAGGGCTTCCATCATTGCACTGTGGAGCGCTGACTGGGGCCAATCCTGGAAAAAAACTTAACTAGCACCTCATAAACTCAGCAATGAACTCCATAGGATTTAAACCCTTTAAATGACACGTAGTAGTTCAGGATACGCTTCGACGGTACTTCATGTAGAGCTGAGCCCTTTTCCGGGCTTCCCTACGGCATAGACCAGTACTCTAGCAGGGATGTTCCGGAGCTCGAATTTCTGTTAATCTCAGGGATGGTATAAACCTCCAAATGTCATAAAGTCCATTTCAGCCATTCGTAGCTAGGTGAATCCTACATATTCTCTCAATTCAACTGGAATTGAGTGGAACACCAATCTTCCACTGACCCCTGGTAGGGTGCACCATGCACTGACTTTCCCTTGTTATGGCACTTGAATGATGATGAATTGAATGACGCGTAATATTTCATAAGGAACTTGTTATCTGGCACAAAAATCTATTCACCTGTCCAGAGGTGAAAATGTCGGAACGTGCAATATCGACACGGCTCCATGCCAAAGCCAAAGCGAGTTGATCGGCTGGAGATAAGTTTTGGCCCTGAATGTTGCGCAGATTGAACTTTCTCGGAACATGCGTCATCGCGGAAAAACACCTTTAAAAGAGCGCTGAGTATCGCATGATCAACGTCTTGTCCACCTTTCTCGCCAAGTCGAAAAACTGTCATCTGAACAACGCTACAGTACCCAAGATCGTATCGTTCCTCCGGAAAAAACAGCGAGTTCAGAACTCACCAAGTGTTTCTGCTGGGTACACATAATTAACTCTGTGACAACTTTATCTGCAGTAGCACCACCACAGTCAAAAACTCGTTGTACGAGTTCTGCAAGTTGTGGACGGACACCGTCCGGGAATGAGCTGAAAATCGCCCTCATCAATAAAAATTAAGGTTCGGTCAAATAAACAAGGAAGAACTCGTAGCTCAAAAGGAAGGAAAATAGATCAATCGTTCGGTAAAAGATGTAGGCATACCCGTCTTCTCGAACAGTTTGATGGGCAAAGGCTAGTAGGTCAGCCGCTCGACCACTACCATCACAAACCACCACAGGAACTCGAGGTACGCTAAAAAAAACTGGCTAATTTCAAGAAACTTATTTTCACACAACTGTTCCCTTCAGCGCCTGGTAAACATTTAGAGGAATTCGTCCGACGAAGCTCGATATCAGGATTTTGACAAAGTAGGGGAATCTGATCTCAATTAGGAACTCGACGGTGAATAAAAATTTCAAACGCTGGCTTTATTGGCTTGAATGAGGCGAACTGAGAGCAATAAAAAATTTAAAGCATGAAGCCTTACTTCGTAACATAATCCAACACCGATCTTATGGTACAGCTGCCACCCTCGAGAACCACACAAACAACAGGCACACTTCGTGATCCACCAGAGATCTTCTGCTTTTGAGCGATATAGGTCTCCAACCGCTTCCGTAGAACCACTTCTGCTCCATATCTAGAAGAGAACCTTGGGCAGAAAGACAGAACCTGGCAGTAAACACAGAATGGTGAAAATGATTCGACAGGGAACCCAACTCGATCAGTTCATAAGAATAAGAAAGTAGGTAGCTTTGAATACAATAAGACACAAAAAACGTCTGCTGATAAAAATTACCTTCCAACGCTCCCATTATCGGACAGCAAGAAATACGAGTGACGATTATTCAATGCCGTGAATCGCGTTTTACTAGAGAATGGATAGTATGGTACGCAGACATCCTGAAAGGATGCGAAGAAAATTAATGAAATCCTTAAAGAGAGCTCCTCTTTACATCAATAAATACCAACAAGTAAAAAAAGACTTGGACATTTCCCGTGAGCAGTTTTGTCTCCCATCGTGGATAAAATGGTAGTCAATAGGTTAGGAAAGAGCTTCGTTGCCTTTTTGAAACAATGTAATCTCATAAGTAATTTTTGACGAAAAAAACTAGGGCAATGCTAGGAAGCAATAGAATGCAACAAAATGGGAATGTGATAGTGAACGTAACTAAGTATCGAAACAGTTGTTAAGCCACAATGCGGATATATGTCTGAATATACGTTGTGTGATGAATAAATGAATGAATGAATGGATGAATGAATGACTACTGAAAAAGGGTCTAGGGGAATCAATAGCTCGTTCATCATTGCGGCCAAGAAATAAGAATATGGCCAAGAATTGGAGCCAGGCTCAAAACTCGGCAGCAACGCCCTTTCTGACAGCCCCGCCTCCGACAGATAATAGCTCTTGCATGAAAGGGTTAGGAACGAACATGTTAGGATTCAATAGGAACGGACTATAAAACTGAAAAATATGCTGGCACAGGTGAAAACATATCGAAACTCCTAGGCACTTGCGCCCTTCACGTATATCCCTCGAAAGGGAGGAACATGAAACTCGTCAACTTGTTTTCAACCACATCTTATAATCTCTCCTGTCTTGATTGACTAACTAGCGTTTGGACCTTAGTTTTCAAATCCCACAACCCAAATCCTGTTGTGTCTAGGTGTAGGAAAAGTATAAATAGCTGTGTAGTAAAAATCAAAAGATGATAACATAACTTACCTCACCAACCAGTTCATCCCTTTTCTTCAGAAGACCCCATGGTGAAATCCCGATGCACACCACTTTATTGCGGGACGTTGAACTGGCCCCTAAGTCAGATTGTTAGAAAATCCATCCCAACTATTACCGATTGATTGATCGATCAATAATTAACCTTCAAAAGCAGCAGCTACATGTCGTACAACACCAGTATCTACACCGCAGCAGCTACATGTCGTACAACACCAGTATCTACACCGCTAGTTATGATCCATGCTCCAGTCGTTGTCGCTGCTCTCAGGAGACCTTTGCGAAACACTCTCGCTAATTTCGGTTGGAGGCTGAAATCAAACGAATCAAATGCGTTCAGAACAATAACGGCAAAAAGTGGGAAGTCTCCCTACTCAAAGTTATTTGTTCCTCCATGTACGGTAATGATCAGTTTTGGTGGAGCAATTCGCCAAACCTGAACACATTAGACGATCTAGGTCTAAAAACTACATGTTGGATTTATAAGGAGGTTACCTCCTCGAACATGGACATGATAAGGGCTGGATCGGTGTCAAACGAAAGACGAACGTATTGTGCTTTGTGGGGATGGGGACCACCTGAACGTGGGTACCGTTGGTAACAATAGTTATACATCATCGATTTCTAGTAACATATTCCCGGATTGTACCTTGGAATTCGATCGTGCCGAACGCGTTTGTCGGCAGGCAGATGGTGTGCTTTTTCAGACTCCATCGTTCACCAAGTTTTCCGGTTCTACGTCCCTGTAACTGGTAAGATGACGAGCGATAAAAGGACAACGACAGTAGTCTATAAAGATGCCAAATGTCCAGAAATCAGTAAATTTATCATGGTTTATCGAATGACTGCTGGAAAATTGAAAAAAATCAACACTAGAGGTCAGATGATCAGCGGGCGGTTTGATCAAAGAAGTACCGTAAACAGTTTTGCACAGAGTAACGCAGTACCCGAGGCACCGCGAAAAACCCAATAAGAAGCAGCAGCATTCGAAAAATACCCCAAATCGCCAACCTCGCGAGAATTTCGAAAGCGTACTGCGGATAAATAACAGCAGTCAGCAAAACATCAAGCTAGAACAAATTAAAAAAATAATTTTGCATCGTTCCCTATTTGAGAGCAGTCCAGATTAAGGTGTGGGGAAACAACTATACAAGGACTTTCTGAGTGTTAGTCAAGTGCCCAAAGTCACGCTCATGAGCAGTTTTGCAGAAATATGACCCAAATTTTGAATCTGGGAACGCATTTCCAGTTTCCGGCAACTTCATGCAAAATTTTGCCATCAATCTGAATACCATCAACTCATAGTGTGAATGTCTCGTTTACGAATAAGTCAAAGAATGAATCGAACGGTTTACCCAACCCGCTCGGTAACCACACTACAACCCTTTAAAAATCCCTTTTCCTTTTTTATGAACTGAACAACCGAACCCTTTCGGTGGAGCTCCCAAAGCACAGGCATTACGTTATATGCTCACAGGATGTTCGCACCAAAAAGCTGACTATTCCATAAGAGATAGCTTAAGACTCACTCTGCCACGGGGCTGCACTACTTCAATCTGATCGTCGGTCGCATTCTGCTCGCTTCCCGTTTCGGCTCGTCTCTTATTCACATAGTCGCTTCCGCGGTGATTCAGGAACGAAATCGTCAACGATGGGATATCAATGTGAGCTGATCGAAGCCGACCACAGCCGCATCTAGAAGTCGTTTCGATGACCTCAGATGAAAACTAAGAGCTTGAAATCAATTGTAGCAATCGATAGTTCCGAATGATGGTCAAACAATAGATTTTTTCGGCGTTTGAACGATTGTTTCAGCACCGTTTTCTCGAATGCAAGAGTAACGTACCACTTTTCAGAACAACCAATGTGAAGAACCACGACCCCTTGCATCTTATAGAACACGAGTTCAGTGAATTGCTCGGAAAGGCTGATGGATAGTTGTCTCATAATCCGTTAACGCTCTCGTAAAACAGAATATACCTTACATTGAGGCTACTCCCCATATTTCCTGTGTTCGAACCGGTTTTATCACTCAACCTGGGTGTACGCTTTAATTTACTAGGGAAATAGATAATTTGGTCTGGGGCCCACCAAGAACCTAAATCCTGGACGAGATCAATGGACAAAAAAAATAATCCGACAAATAGAACACATAATCACACATAGAAATGTACGCTATGGACTCGTACGATGCCATAAATATGATAGATTACATTGTGGGCTGTATAGTGGCTATCATTGCTGATCCTACTTACATCAAAAACCAGTGAAATGGAAGCACTAGCATGGCATGACGCAAAGGGTAATAAGGATGTCGACTGATAACTAGAGTTATACGCCATGTATGTACGATGAAGGCCATCAACGTACTTTAACTCGATTTCAGGAAATAAATACATTAGAAACAGTACTTTACCATTAAAGAATAGTGCGTTAATTCTTAAAGTAAATCACAATTTCTATCAACTCGCTCCTGACACCTTACTTCTCTATAGATATTTCGGAGGATGCGCTATTTACTTGCAAGCTTCATCGCCTTATTTCAGCTAAGGAAAAAGCGCAGTAACTTAGAGGAGAGAACAATATTAATTCGAGGCATCAAAATTCTAAATCTAATACGATTAGAACGAATGCATCTTTATCTAATAATAGTCAGAAATACCCAGCCAATTCCGATTCCCTATATCATATTACCCAGATACCCCTAAATCGAAAAATTCCCATGACTATTTAGAATACTGCTCCACTGGATTACTCGTAGGATTTGCAAGAATGTCCAGGATACTGTCTAACAGAGACGGTGATTTTTTCTTATTATTACAAGGTAAGGGGTGATATCTTGGGTAATAATGTGGTAACTTGGAGAGGTCGAAATGAAAAGAGAACGCCTGTTGCCAAAGAGAAAATTTTCAGAAACTTACGGAGGTAGATTAAAGCTTTTATTCTGTTTAGTTATATTGAGCACTAAACTGACTGCAAGGGTAGTTCTATTGTCAGTTTTTTCGTGCTCCGGACCTAGAGATGATGTTATGTGAGGGAGCGCGGGTGACATGATAGGATGAAATGAAAAAAGCAGCACTCAGAAGAATTTGAAGCGGAGAACACGAGACAGACAAGTTCCAAGACCAAATTCTCCAAATTTTTACGTCTGCATTGGAATGTAAACGACTTACTTCTCCGGGTACTTGTTGGTGGGGACAAACCGAGCACATTCTCGTCGGCTGAAAGTCTCCGTTATCCAATGAGCTCTGTTAAGGGACTGAAAATTTTAAATTTTAGATTGGAAGGAGTTTTACNTCCGGGTACTTGTTGGTGGGGACAAACCGAGCACATTCTCGTCGGCTGAAAGTCTCCGCTATCCAATGAGCTCTGTTAAGGGACTGAAAATTTTAAATTTTAGACTGGAAGGTATTTTACTCAACGAAACGCCTCACCAAATCCGACTCGGAGAAACGCATTTGGCTGAACAGCGGTGGAACCGGCGGAGGGCACTCCGCGTGCGGCTCACTCAGCTTCCTCAGATTCGGCTGCAAATTCTGAACCTTTTTCAGGGAAACCCTTCCGCAGAGAATCCAGGTAACAATGAACTACTAGTGCGGGCGTTAGAAGGAGTTTTGCTTTGCATTTATGCTTTCCATTGCAGCTCTACAGGGAATACCTAAGACAGAAACCAGTTCAAGAGGAGTTACAGGTTCCTCTTGGAAATTACTCGATCATATAGGATCCCAAGTTTAAAATAACAACAACAGTGACGGCAATGATCGTTCCGACGATAAGACGAAAACTGAGCGAAGAAGACCAAGAGGTGAGTTGGTCATAAAACATACAATATTAGCCCTTTTAAAACTGGACTATTAGTCACATTTCTTGGACATCTGAACCGAATCAGCCAAATTGGCCTGAAAGGTGCTAGGATATTATGATTTGTGTCAAAAGCAACGCTGTAGTTGATGAGATTCCCGGAATACAAAATCAAAAACCTTAAAAAAGCTGAGGAGTCAGTTGCAACTTGTCAGGGTTCTGATTAGCAGAGGAAAGCTTTTTGAAAGTATGAATAACCAGTAAAAACCAAGAGAGAACTGGGTAGACGTGGAAAACTTCACAACCGTTAGGCACAAAACGCTCTATGGAAATACAAAAGATTCCTATCTCGTTCCGTCAACTCAGATGGTCGCGTTCTATGACGAAGAACGACGGAAAAATTTTTAAAGTATGCGTCTATTACACGAATCTAGACAGACGGGAAGAAATCAGAGAACTTTAAACCATGGGACATAATTTGATGGACGATTTTTTACATTTCTTGGAGCTTTTTGTGGAAAAAGAGGGTACAAACCTTTTGTGTACATGAGGGCGATGTTTTTATGGCTATCAAAGATTAATTGGGAGCTGAGCGTAAAATAATCGCGGTCGGGGAACCCAAAAATACTATGAAAACGTGCGCCGTGTCATCCAGAGATTTCCTCGGATTATCTGCCCGGACAATAAACTGCTGGCTGGCTACCATATACCGGAACAAATAGAATGCATTCAATTTGTCAGCTGAATAGGTGACAGCAAACATTGAAGAGGTGACTTAGCGCAAAACATATGACCACGTAACACCTACGGTCCGAAAACCAAGACGACTGATATTTTACGGTCACGGAAAGTTATACATGGTCACAGCAAACAGTTCAGATGCTGATGCTTGCAAAACATGAGATATTTATGACAAGCAGAGTGGGTTGAGGTAAGTGGGACGAGATGAGATGTTGTCAAGTTTTAAACAACAACAAAATCAATGCGACTAACCGAATTCTCATCCTCCTCTCGAGCTGTATCTCGAGCTTCGGTGATCGAGAGCATGTCCCGCCAATCGGTCGAGTGAACATTTGGAGGGGGAATGGCGTATCCGAGCAGAGATCTACCACCTTTTCTTGGCCAAACACCTCCAGTGAAGCTCCCTAAATGGATCTAGAATTAGATACATTAGAAGCACTCGAAAAAAAAATCCAGGTTCCAAAAAAAATCATTTCCATGCAGTTATTTATGAACTGGTGCGATCTCTATTGATAAAAATTTTGAGAGCACACCGTTAACACCTTTTCCATGTCCATCTTCCCTTTTCCATATAAAACACTTGGAGCAGCCCATCACTAGACTCCCGGGCACTGACCGAGTGCAATCTCTTCTCGGTTAAAACCACTTTAACGCCTATCCCTACAGATTAACTAAATGCGTCATCCATTCACCACCTACCATGTCCTTGTAATGCCCTAGTAATATCAATAGTATCGTATATCTGAATAAGGTAGCTTCGCAATGATACCTAGTTGCTTTAAAAGCCGAAAAAAATGACGATATGAAAAGAATAGATTCAGGAACTGTATAGGAAGTTCTTTTAAGCGAAAATTCTTTGTCATTTGAAAGGTTCTTGAAAAGCTTGACACTGGCGAACAGTGAATACCCAACAAATCATCGTTGTGTATACCCAGCGACTCCAAGGCACCCCTTTTAAGGAACTCTTATTCAACTTAAACTCAATAGCGACAAGTTCATTTACACTAAACTTTCAGAGAAAGCAAAAAAAAGTCGATCCACAATTACGAATTCTCAACCGTCGAATAACCTTGGAAACTAAGATTTCAGCCCTTCTTTCATCAAAAAGCACGTCATAATTAGTGATAGTCAAAAGAGCAAAACTCGCGTGAAATAAAACTCAGCTTATCAGTTCAATTTCAAACAAAGCCTAGTTATGAAAAAAACAGTCGAGAGAAGACAAAAAGAGATCTCCAAAAAGACATGCACACCAAAGGGTGAAGTTCCGAAGATAGGATGCGCATTTTGAAACGGCGTTCTACCGTAACCTCTACGATTGAATGTTAATGCTTTTATTGTATTCTTTTAATATTAAACTGGCAACAAGCCAAAGAAAAGCCAGCCTCGAAAATTTTACTCATCTACCAATACATCTGATCTATATGATGTAATCTGATGTATCCCCATCTAGAACGAATCCTCACTTATCAAGAGAAAAACACATTGCTTTCCTGACTCCTTTCTCTTTCTCGAATCCTATAGAGTATCAATTTAGAAGGTACTGTCTAACAAAATTGCATTACTATGTACCTTCCCGCTGCACATCGCACAACAAACGAAAATCGCTTTCATTATCAGATCAATTATCAGATGAACGCTCAATTTTCCAGAAAGTCGGCAGTACCGCAGTAAAACGACTGAAAGCCTACACGGTGATTCAACAAATTCAATCTTTCAATTTGATGTCACAAATCAAACAATGCTAAGGCGACCCTATGACGCTATTTGACAACAGCTAAACACAACTATGCAGGCTACTTAGCGGTAACGATCTACCAGTAATATGTGCAAACGTAAACATCACTAACTAAAGCGAAAACAAAACCAAAAAATGTCGTTAGAGAGCTTTCAACCAACTGAATGTTCATAGTCGGCTAAGGAGAACTCCGCTAGCTCAACGCACAAGCTCCACTTGGGATCAGGCTAACGGAGCAAAATTTCTGCCAAGTTATTTGTGTGAAGAAAAGTGCCGGTCATACTTACTCTTTTGAAGTGTTAAATAAATATGTGATCCACACGACGTGTAGGGTGCAAAAGTAACCAAGCTCAAGATGTTTGTTGCCATGTTTACCCCCATGCAAGTGCACAGCACCACAAAAACATCAAATATAGAAGGAACCTCATAAAAGACACAACTAAATTCCACATATGTACACAAACAATGTGAACAAGTGGTAGCCGAGATAAAACAAAAGGCATTCCACATAACACTACTGTTTGTTAGATGATTACGAGGGTAAACAAAAGTTGGAAGAAGAACCAAAACAGTTAAAGCTGAGTTCTTTCATCAGCAGGCTTTCTAATTGTACAAAAGATAATGCATTGTTAATGGTTACTCCACCATAGGAATCCGAATCTGAGCTACTAGGCTGAGCAAACCAAGCCTTTTTTGAGATAGATCATACGGTACAACTCGTCGCCTTGGAGGATAAAATGTTAGATTAGACATAGCCTGACCGTAAATGTCTCTAAATGTCTCTCTCAGACTTGATAGATACCATGTTAATAACCTCGAATTTTCTGGATTGAAATTAACAACATGGCGCACTCTTCAGAATTACCAGCTACACCAACATTGACTAGTCTGCTTGGACAGCTACTTAGAATGGATCGCAAAGTAATGGGAGGCCTCTGATTGAGGTTTTCCAGTGATATGTGATGCACTCCGAATAGGCTGCTCT